TAGCCATTTCTACTATCTTGTTTGCATTGTTTTTGATGAATTGATATTAGCCATTTCTACTATCTTGTTTGCATTGTTTTTGATGAATTGATATTAGCCATCTCTACTATCTTGTTTGCATTGTTTTTGATGGATTGATATTAGCCATCTCTACTATCTTGTTTGCATTGTTTTTGATGGATTGATATTAGCCATCCCCACTATTTATTTCTTTTGCTTGTTATTTATAATACAATGTTTCAATAGACATAGGAAGGTTGTATTTATAATCAAGGTCTAAATACAATGTGGTTCCAACTGTAATATTTATTGTTTATCTGTTACTGGCTGGTGATTCCTGGTTCACATAATGAACACAAAGTCCTATAGGAAAGCTAACTTCAAGGGGTAATGATAACATTGTTTACACTAGAATGTTTCAATAAACATAGGAAGGTTGTACTTATAATCAAGGTCTAAATACAATGTGGTTCCAACTGTAGTATTTATTGTTTATCTTGTTGGCTGGTGATTCCTGGTTCACAAAATGAACACAAAGTTCTGTAAGAAAGCTAACTTCAAGGGGTAATGATAACATTGTTTACATTAGAATTATGATTTTTAAAAATTACTTCTAGTTATTAATAATACTTATAAAAGCTGATACTCCGCTTGAAACTATGTCACCTCAGTGAAATTGGTTGACACCATTGTTTCAGTTTTCATGTAATAAAAAAAGAAGTAGAAAAAAAGAACAAGAAATTCAAACTTTTTGCTATGATATTTACAGATATTCCCAGAACTTGTGATTTAGTCATTACATAGATATTGTTATAAAAGGAAACACGGTATAGTATTGTGAAGTTCTGATGACTTATTTCAATGAACAATCCAAGCCATCCCTACATAGGCAGTGCTGCCACCTGCCTGAAAACGTATGTGTCTAAAAAAATTAAAAAGTTGATATTTAAGAAACATTACTATTTAAAGTAGTGAAACTTTAGCAAGTTGTGTTGAATTATAAAAATCTACAAAAAGTGAATTGATACACTTCACTTCACAATCAAGTCCTTACTCCTGAAAAAAAGTCACTGTAATACCTACCAGCAGGGGTTCCAGCATTCATTGATACTTTGTACTGGGACTTATTTGACTTTCATCCAGCTTGAATGCCTTCCATTTCATTGTCAGAAAGCAGACACGTCACAACTCACAGAATCTAACCAGTCATTAACTGATCAAACAACAACTAGTTCTTGTTGCTAACAAGATTATGTGGAGAAGTTGTCTATCAACTTTATGTCAATCATTATTAAACAGATTATAATTGTTTTTTGAAGTTTTCATTTTATAACAGTGTAAAATCAACAAACAAAATTAATACCAAGTGTTCTTTAAACCTTTAGTATGTGTAAAAAAATTGTCAGTTAGAACTGTAGAACTGTACAGATGTTATCTGTATTTCAGTTGACAAGTTGGGGGAGGAAAATCCAACGTGTTCAAGTGCTAACATTCAACCATCTAGCTCCCCATGTGACGTGCATTGGTAAGATACAGTCCTAGTTAACAACTTTGTGTTAGTTATAAAAATATGAACCCTTGTACCAAATCTATCCTCAGGAGGTGAGGTAGTGGTAAAAAACGCCAATAAAATCTGCAAAATTGAAAATTGGTATGTACCTAATGAACCTTCACTCCAATTTT